ACGCACACGCTCAGTGGGAGCCCGTCTGTGTCAGGGTCACAGCGCCCACTGTAGGGGATGTTGAAACGCAGCGACCTAATCTGTTCCCTCGGCGCCTGTAATGACACTGGGCTGATGAAGGGGGCGCCATGTCGGAACATCCATTTATTTTTGTCACTTTCGTTTTCACTCTCTGTAAACATTTTATTTCCACCCGCAGCACATGTGGAGGTCCTCGGAGCTAAGAAGGTGGACGGAGCAGAGAAAATTTATTTAATTTGTTTTTTTTTCTTTATCTGTGTCACAGTGAAGAAGCTGCTGATTTTTTATTGTATTTCCTCTGTTTTAAAAAGGTCAGAATAATGTGGTCATAACAGTATTTGAATGAAGTTTGGGTTTTGAAGCATAGCTTGACTTGTGAATTTTTTCAAATTTTTTTCACGGATTAGATTGGGCGTTGTTCAACCTTGGGGTCGCAAGCCCATCTGAGGTCATCTGGAACTCAAATAGGGTCACCTGAAATTTTGTGTAATTGATTAACAAAAATCAAGATGATTAAAAAACACCAGCAACAATCTTAAGCAACTGCGTTCTTTCACTTCTATGAATAAAATTCCACCTCAAATAAATACAGCGTATAAAAAGATCTTGACCTTGATTGATGTGATCATGTGACCACACATGAAGTGACAGCTACTTCAGTTCAAATGCTAATGATCAGAAACTAATTCTAGAAAAACAAAAATATCAGAAGCCTAGAAAGGCTGGGAACCAGTGGTTTAGAACCTGCTGATACTGCAGTTATGAACGTTTTATAACGTTCATATATTTGTTTACTTTTTCACAATCCTTAAACTACAAAACAAAAAACTTACTGAAGATCCAGCCCCGCCCCAAAGAAAAATGTTTTGGATCCATGACAAAAAACCCCCCCCAAATTTCATGCGTTTGATCACAGAGGTGTTTTTTTTTTTAAATGTTCTCACTGTAGTGTTGCATCATACACACTCTGGAAAACAGTACCAACGAGTTCAGCACCGCAGTGAGCATCAGATAATGATCAGTTCTCTGTCAGTTCCACGTTTGGGTTTTAGAAACGTTCACTAAACAATCAGACATTGAACGAGCAGTGATCAGAGAGAGGAGGGATCTGAGGACAGGTCTGTCTGCTGTGTCACGGCGGCAGAGGGGCTGCTATGGAGACGTCCTCAGGAGGAGATAATTAAAATAGTGCCACCTACGGGAGGTCCCACCTGTGGCGCGCAGGAGCGGCTGTTTCCAATTCAGCGGCTCTGCGGGGAACACCTGAGAAATTAATCAATCCAACAAAGACACACTGACGGAGCAGAGGTCAAACTGAAGGGGGGGGGGGGCGGGGGACGGGGGGGGTGGGACACAACAACAAGAGCATAAACTGGGAATCGAACCTCTTCACTGACAGTTGGTGGAGACGGGACAGGATCAGAAATAAAACTCAACCTTTTCTCTTTCTTGTCGGTTTTTACATTTTTATGTGAATACATAGATTATGTGAATATATGTGTAAATATATTCAGTCTTTTTTTTTAAATATTTATCAGGGAAAAAAAAGTGAATTTTGAGATAAAAAGTCAGAATTCACAGAATTAAGTCATTTATCTAAACTCAAGTACGAGTGTATTTTAAATTTACACTTTTTTCCACCATTTTATTTCTGGTCTTATTTCAATTTATTTATTATCTATTTATTTTATTTTATCTTATTTTTTAGGCAAACTTTCATTATGAGCTGCTATTTGTTTTTTTGTGCTTTGTTTTCATCTCACTGTTCGCGTTCTTGTACATGTGACAAATAAAGGAATCTTGAATCTTATTTATATTTCCATAAAAAATAAGGTCAAAATTTCAGACTTTGTTTATATATTTTTTAAATCTGAATTTTGTTTCGAGTGAGAATTCACAATTATCAGGTGAAAATGCTAAGAATTAAAAAAAAAAAAAAACACTTTTTATTGATGTTTCTACAGTCAATGAAGCGACATTACACAAATAATTAGCCTAGCTAGGGCTAAAGGCTCAACACACACACACACACATACACACACGTACACACACACACCCCCTGACACACCAACAAACATTCCTTCCTATGTAAACATGGAGGACAGCAGTGGACAGTCCTAACGTCCTGTGACGTCGGTCTCCTCAGTGAGGAGGAAACACTGAGACATAAACAAACAAAGTGCTCGCTGCTCGAAGCTCCGATGAGTTCCATAGGAAAAAAAAAAACCTTTAATAGGTCAGAGGTCATCGACGACGAAAAAAACACTCCATGATAAGGCCTTGTTTCAAGGACTCCCTGTCTTTTCTCAATGACTGGAGACCCCCCT